ATTTTAATTACGGTAATCAGGTTTGACATTTTTAGACCTACAGATTTCAGCTAACCCTCATCTCAAACGGTTATGCCGAAACAGGGGAATGACGCATGAACGGACAGTTTCCCAGAACAAGCAGAGTATGACACCGCCAGGATTATTTTGCTCAGCTTAGCGCTGGCAAAAATTGAATTTCTGTGTCCTGCTTTGCCAGTGATTAGAACGAAGCCCCATTTACAAATATTGTGTGATGAAATGTTAAGAGAACGATTATCTTGTTTGTTTGGGAAGATTTGATTTGGACTGCATGTCATAACATGCACGCTCCCTCAGGGGAGTTGAGACAAAAATAGGCTAGTGGCAGTTACTAAAACACAGACACATAAGGCCAGCATGAGCTCATTTTCATCTTTTAATGCATCTGGCATTCTCAAGGAAAACATAACCTCTCAGTTCAACCCATAATAATTGACATTTTAAAGATCCCACCATCACCTGATTTGTTGGCCAGATGTTCAGAAACGGTGGAGATAGGCACTTCTTCAGTTTTTGTTTATGGTAACGTAAAGGGAGAAAAGCAAAGCTGGTGTTGTAAGCATGGCATCTCATGCAGTTCAGCAACACTGTGCTCTTTGGAAAATAATAACTCTGGGCTTTGATATATCGCTAAAGTGGGGAATTAAATACATCTGCCTTCTTCTGTTAATACAAATTTGGAACTGATACTATTATAATTTGTTATTGGTGCAGTCTGAAATCGTTTGCTCTCAGTTTTAGAGGCATTAGTGCATTTGTTAAAACTGACACACTTTTATCTGTGGAATTTTCCTCTTCACAGGAATCTGCATGGAAAGAGGCCCGCAGATTATGCTGTGAGCCAGGAGATGCTGGAGATTTTCCAGAACGCTGCAGAAGGAGCCCAGCCTGCTAATTCTCACACATCTCCCAGCCCCTCAGCCAATCGTTCAGTGGTACGTCTTCACGGAGAACTGAACGATATTCTTTTCTTTTTCTTCATCTTCTTTTGATACTGAAAAAGCTCGACAGCTGATAATCCAGCATTTCAGAAATATTTAGGAACTCATGTTGTTTGTTTTTTTGTTTGCTTTTTTTTTGTTTTAGGTGAGTGAGTGTATGAGAAGGGATCAAACTCCGGTGTTTTTCGCCAGTAAGCTGTCTGGGCCAGAGCGGAAGCATCTGGCCAGACTGGGAGTGCTACTGGGAGGGAGAACTGCTGACACCTTTTATGGCTCAGGTAATGTTCATTTGACTCAGGCAGCGCTTCTCTGCCAGAGTGTGTGCTTCAGTGTTCTATTTAAGACACATAGAATCCCAGCTGCGTCTGTCTGTGCTGCAAGATTGTGACTAAGGTTGTGACTTTTGTTACTAAAGAGTCCAATTAGATAACCAGAAGATATTTCAGAACAACTTGTTTTAGACTCACCAACCTCATAGTTTCTGTCATCATGAAGTAATTAGCACGTTTTGGCCTTATGTGTCCTGTTAGGATCATTTCTCTTACTATGGAGATGGGGTTTTCTTTATTTTCTGTCTTGTATTGTTTTTTTTCCACACAGCTGAGGTTTATAGACTATCTAACACAGATCAATTTGTACTGTAAAAGCCAGCGGTCGAAGCTGGAGCATTATCTCTCATGAAGGTTCAGTGGTAGCAAACAAGTGCTTTTAGAGGTGTATACATCACCAAGATATTGCAGCTCCTTCACTCTTGAATAGTAATGGCTGGAAGAACACCAGAGAGCCAAAGTTATTGAAATCATTCCTCATAAAATGTTTGGAGGTGCTGTCAGAATGATGAATACACACTAATGAAAAGCAGAAGTGTTCTTTCTGATTTCCCTTTGCTGGCTGGAGGGGTGAAAGTTGTCGCTTTCACAGAATTATTTTATTTATTTATCTATTTATTTGTCTATTTATTTTTTCTTAGCAGAATCATACAAATCCATCAAAATCCAGTGCACGGTGTAAGAGGGTTCTGCCCTAGAGATATAATTATTTTCCCTCCGCACGTGTCAGCTGTGTTCACTTGTTGAATGAAGAGGCAATAATCTTTATTTAAATTTTAATTAGACTGTAATTATGTGCCGGTGCTTGGTCTTTTGCCAGAAGCTGTTTGACAGGATTACAGTGAGTTTACCTGGCCAACCCCCTTAAAGTCAGGTGCTTTTGACAGATTATGTCCAACTACTCCTCCAGCCGTAGGAGTTCAGGAACCTATCGCGCTATACTGTGAAAGGCAGGATAAACTATAATGGTTTGCTAGTCCATCACAGGGCTACACAGAGACAAAGGAGACACACAACCATGTACACTCTCAATTTGCTGGAAAAAACTATGAGAAATGCACAGTATTTTATTTGTTTTCTTCTGGAGTTGGGTCATAGTTTGTAAATCAGCGCATCTACTCAAACCCCCATACAGTTATAATGTGTTATTCTGTAACAAAACTTTGTCTCCCAAATGTATGATTTAAAAGCACTTATGCTATACACATGCAAGACGTTTTTTCTCGACAGATGATGAAAGCATTTATTGTGTTGTTCTTAGTACATGTAACAAATGACAACAGTAGTGAGTGAGTCTGTTTGTGTGTGTCATAGTGTCCCTTCACCAGTCATTGGAAATCATTGGCTCTTATGGCATTAATCAAACTCTGTTATTACCTCTATCCTGATATTCTGGGCAGGAAAATGATGTTGTACAGACTTAAGAGTCCCGTGAGAACCCTGTTTCTCAACAAGATATTTCTCCGCATGGATTTATATTCCAGCATTCAGGTTTTTGATTATATTCTTTTTAGTTTTTTTTTTTTAATGACCACTTTATACCAGATGAGTAAACTTGGGGTAAACCCTAGAAGACTATATAAATATTTGTTGTATCTCATTTTGTTAGGACTGCAAAATGAATTTGATTTGTCAACAATATCTTAACTATTCAATGAAGACTTTGTAATGTGATCTAAGTTTTACCTTGTCAGACTGTCAGAAGACAGCAGCAGCCTGCAGTTATTTATGTCAGTATCACACGGCTCTAATTTGCGCACGGATTTTCAATTTGGCTTTTTTCTTGTTTGTTTCTTCCCCCCCAGTGAGCCATGTCGTGGTGCCAGAAGGACAAATGCCCACCACCTACTCCACCCTCCTGGGTCTTCTTGCTGGCTGTTGGGTTGTCAAATACAGCTGTAAGTATTGAGTGAGCTGTCAGCTGGAACAGTCTCCCCACGGATTCTGTTTTTGAATGTGGTGTTGATGGTGCTGCTGGAAGCTGTATAACTTCTTACGGCAGCGACACTAAAAAGGCCATTGAAATGACTTATCACCCTAATATTACAATTCCCAGTTACAACAAACGGCAGCTACTCGTGAATTTTTAAGCCTCAGTTTCCTGAATTTATGACAGCCTTTAATTTGATGCAGGTTAGTTTAGCACTCATCTTTTACTGTAGCTCAGTACAGTGTGCAATTAAGTGGGTTTCAGAAGAAATGTTTTATTTTCTACTTAAACCCTTATGCATTCACACCCTATTAGATAAAGTTTCGTCCCCACTGATTGTAAGATATTCCTTAATAGGCTTCTATAGAAATAACTTTTTTGCTAAATCATTAATTTATATTTAGCTTTTACCGTATTTTCTGCACTATAACGGTAACAGTATTACCGCAAATGGTAAGAGAGACTGAAAATGTTGAGTTCCCTAAACATTTCTGTTGATTACTCTTTAGTTCTAAACAAATCTGTTTCCATTCAAACTTTCCTCTCTACAAGTTCACAGGTTCAGAGGTCAAATCTCCAAAAGCAAAACAGGCTATACGGACCTGTTTAAATAACCTGTTTTTCGTTTCATACACACAAAGCCTTGGAAAGAATTCAAAGTACATTTTTTGCAACAGGCAATCTTAAAATCAATTATTTGTCCCTGCTGCTGTGGGCAGGTCTGCTTACATGTCTTACTGCTATATAGTGTGAGTTGATGACCTGGGGATAGAATTCTAGGAATCAGTATGCCACAAAGCTCCAATATCACTAGTGATGAAATGATGGCTTTTTATCTTTATTCTTTTTCTTTTTGGCAAGATGAAAAGTAATTTGCTATTCTCAGCCAGTCCCCCTGCCACCCGTGAACCAAGTCAATGAGCTGATATTCTGAGGAAGTCGGCTTCAGGCAAAGGAAAGAGAGACTTGCTGTCAAAGAGTTTTCTGGCACCTTGGTATGCCCTTCACCGGTGTGTTTGTCAGTAGCATCACTTCACAGTGCGTTGATGTGTGTGTGCGTGTTGCGTGCAGCGCCACAAGTGCGAGCGCCTGCCAGAACGCCAGTTCAGCTTTGGATGCGTGTGCTTGTGTCACTGTAAGATTTTGTATGTTTGGACCATATCCCCCCCCCCCCCTGATTTCTTTTCGCTATGCTGGTTGAGCACTTGACACAGCTTGCCTCCTTCCTGACAATCCTTGTGGCATTCTGTCTGCTTTCTGTACTCGTGTGTGTGTGAGTGCTCAAAAGCAGCTGTGATTTCACTGTCACCTCCCTTTGTGTGCCATCGCCATCATCTTAGCCTGGCCTGGATTACCTCTTATCAAAATGATGTTCAATTTCCTTTTATTTCCTTAAAATAGACACTGCTCCGGTATTTATCCTGCTTAACGGAGATAATTTGGAACTAAAAAAAAACTTTATTGAGCTTTCTTTTTTGTTTCACGCTTTTCAGTCGTTTATGGTTATTATTCGGCAGTTCAGTTAACACGTTTATTTAGTGGGGAAAAGCCAGAGTCAGGATGTGTTTAGCCTCTCTAAACATGGGCAGTGCAGGCTAGTGAAACAGCAATTATCCCCTTAATAACTTTAATTCAGTGTTTTTAATACATGCATGTCTATCAATCTGAACATTGTTGCAAACAATAAACTCCCATCTTGTTTTTTTCTTGTTTTGTTTTGTTGTCATGAAATGTTCATAAAAGCCATAACATTTGCCAATTGTGTAAGGCAGCCAGGGCTAAGGACAGAGTTAGCTAAACGGTTTCTACTGTCTCCAATGTTCCAGCTGAACTACCTTGAACCAGATGTGACTCTTGCTCTTTACTTAACACACAGTGTTCAGATTGCTATTGATATTCTTGTTTCAATCTTAGAAAGAAAACAAATTACCCCAAAGGTTGAACTTTTCCTGTTCTTTTCCTAGCCTTCCTTTTTCCTTATCTTGCTCTTACCCAGCTGTAGCTTATCTCAGCTCTTCTTCCTTTCAGCTATTTACATTTTTTTTCTGTTATTGTCCCGTTTATTTTCAGCCTGTTACTCCCAGTGTTGACTAGGAGGCTTACATGCCTTTTTCCAACCCCCCGTGAATTGTCAGGAAAAAAAATGAGAAAGGCTCTGCCCCAGTGGAGCACATGGCCCTGCCAGAGGCATAGCTGCCAGAAATTCAACCCAGGTCTACTCCCTACAGCTGTGTTCAGACTCCAGGTAACCCAGATTTGTCAATCCTGAGCGTTAGTTAAACTATCACAAGGCTTTGATTCTGCACAAATGAGTGCTCATTTCAGGATCTACTTATGTAAACTGTGTGCAGAGGTGCAAGAAGTATGTTGAAAATCTATCAAGGATTCATATTTAAAAAATGTTTTAGGTCGCTATATTGGTATTGGTTTTGGATTTGAGCTGCCTCCATGGCTGGGATAGACTCTAACCCGAGTTTAAGGGGATTTGCATGATCAGACCTATTGAAATGGTTGTGGATCATTTAAGGCAGTGGTATGGACTAGTCTGAATGTGGGCTGTATTTTGTAGGCAACCCAAGTTGCATGTATTTTATATATAATATGTGCATGACAATTTTATTACAGAATTATCAACAAAAAGTGTCAATAGATGCTTCTGTCTTTATTTGTTTCTGCTTGGTCTGGCCTTAAAAGGCCTTTAGCTGGATGCTTGAAATTTAAAACCCTCCTTAACTTTGTCTTTTCTTGATCGTAATGAGTTCCAGTTGGTCTGAAAATTAAGCAGATGGATTTCTTGAACTCATTTATTCATGAGGAATGGGGTTAAGGATGTCTTTGAGTTTCTTTGACAATGTAACTGGCAAATGTGTCCTTAGAACGAAATGTGCTTCTCCTCTTTTTGCTCTTTTTCTGTCCAAATCTCTGAAAGGACCTTGCAAAAGAAAGCTGCGAATAAATATAAGAGGCTATGAATAAATGTAATGATGCCTTCACGCCATGTAGTAGTTACCGCAAATATGTATGTTTATGCGTAGCTTGCTTTATGATGACAGAGTGTGTATTCTTGCACATTATAAATGTAATTGGCTCATTTCATTGTCTGACGCCGCTGGGAGCAGCTTGTGTGGAAGACAAACCTGAAGCTAAATGCCTTTGATAGCAGTTGTTTGTTGAGGTGCATGCATCATACAAATGTTTCCATGGATACAGTTTTGATCAAAACAACAAATTAGGATCTTTAGAAACTGCAGGTGAACCAATTTATTCAATTTTGAATTGTATTAACATTTTAACAAAGTTAATGAACAGCCAATGCTTCAGATCCAGAATGTGTCCTCACAAAGCAGATGTCTAAATGTTTTTTTTATTGCTGAGAAATTATCTACTGCTTTCACTGACAGAAGCAACCCTGATATGCTGACATAGATCTGTTGTCTTTTCTTTTCTCTGAGGTACAAAAATACATAATTTTTGGAATTGTGTATATTTGGAGGTTTTATAAACATCTTTTTGGAAAACATTTCTTGAGGACATTGTAAATAGAGATGTGTCAGTGGTTCAAGCTGCAATTTTAAGATGTTTAAGTGTCACTATGGTCAGCTTATGGTCAGGCACGAATAGGCAAAGGCTTTTTAGACTTCTTTCTTTTTTTCGTCAACTAAAAATAGTTTCTCCACAATTTCCGTGTCTTGCTTTTAAACCAGAATGTTTGATCATAGTTATGTATCTTCAGTATAAACCTCATCACCAGAATGCGAGCTGAGAACGACAGCACTTAGATATGAGACATGTTCTGAAGCTGTTTTCATCTGTGACACAGAGAGGTAATTAATTTTTTTTCCTCATCTGACTTAAAAAACAAAACAGTCCCCTTTGGCATGTCTCTCTCAAGGATTCAGAACAAAGGCCTAATCTCCAGCTCAAAAAATGCTTGCTGTGACACAGTTCCAGTTTGACTCTTTAAACCCTCAAGAGAATCAAACTGAGAGATGACGCTCAAATTCTGGCTAATACTTACAAAGGGGGTTGCATCATTAACTCCATCACGCCGCGGGCATCTCTCTCTGTCAACAACTGCTGCTTCTCCCGCTCTTGAAATCCTCCAAAAGACATGATAAAACGGACTCGAGCTTTGTCATCCTTTTGCTCACAAATGCCGTGTCACTCTCTTTTAAGTCAGCGTAATTAGCGGCAGCTTTAATTTGACTTGTTCTCTCTCCTTCTCTCTCTCCCTCTCTGACGGCAGGGGTGGAAGCGTGTCTGCAGACAGGGACGTGGCTGCCTGAAGCTGAGCATGAAGCAGGAGAAGGCCCTCGGCGCAGTCGCATCAACAGATGTAGCTTGGTAAACAAAAACCACACTAAGATCTGATATGAAGGAGAAAAAGCTGTGCAGGCACACTTATGGGGAAATATTTACTCTCCCAATTAGCGACACACATGGCTGTTTGGTTTTCATATCATGACTCACAATTGCTGTTTTTCTTTTTTGGTCTAATTTTATTCATTATCAACAAAACATTAGATTTCTTAATTTAAAATAGATCTTCAACTATAATTTGTATTTCACTCATCTGTTACACCCCGATCCTCCGATTCTACTCCTTACCTGCTTTGAAAAAAAAAATCAAACTGATGCAGAAACACAAAGCAAAAACCTTCTGTAAGGTTCAGAAACGGCTGCCAAACAATCCAAAATTACACTGAAATGACTTGAAAAACAACATAAATGCCTTTCGTTGGCAAAATTGGTGTCATGACCTCGATATGAACAAGAAACTGCATCACAGCCAGAAAATTGCTACTTACTCTTCAGATGACGTAAAAGTCTGAGTCTGAAAGATGGTTGAAACTATCACTGTTGAAGGTGCAGTTGCTGCAGTGTAATGAAATTTGATTATAGTCTGACATCACTGATCTTCTCTTGATTTTTGTAAAAACCAAATTAATACCCGCTGTTATTCCGTACAGCAGAAAAACTAAGTGTCAGTAAATGGTTTTAATTGGCATTTTAAATTAACATGGTAATGCAATTACACGTTTACCCCCTGGTGGATGGTGGCACGAGAAAAAAAAATTGAAATCAGAGTAGTGCAGTTCCTGTTGTAAACATAATAAACATATTCAAAGGTTTGCTTTCATCCTCATTTTGGTTTTACCTCCTCACCCTCGGAAAAACAATAGCCTTAATCATAATTATATATGAGGGACAGGCTTTAACCAAAGTGAAATCCTACCAAAGTATTGTCAAAAAACCTTCCTGCTAGAAATGATTGAGTCAGCTTACTTGCATCCCTCAACAGTTCATTAATACTTTGAATAGAGGAGTCTCCAGTGGCCTAATTCACTGCTGCATGAAACAACAATGCTAAATGGTTCCGAGTTTGCCTGCAGAACAAAAAAAAAAAAAAGAATCCCATTTCAGCAGTAAATAATTAAAGCATCAACACAGACACTCTCCTGGATTTAATGGCACAGAAAAGGTGTGAATAATTTGATTTAATCGTAAACAAAAGGGGAGACTTAAATAATCCAGTCACCGAGGCTCAGGCTTTTCTAATAAATTCCAGACAAAGTGTAGCATGTCCTCTCACCCCAGCTTACGATGGGGGGGGAAAGTTCTCTAATGCAGGCATTTGCCCTTTGCTTTGTAGCTACCACCACTCTTCGATGGCTGTTTCTTCTTCCTCCTTGGCCACTTTAAGTCTCCCTCCAAGGACGAGCTCACCAAGCTGCTGCGGGAGGGCGGAGGCCAGCTCCTGAGCCGGCAGCCTAAGCCGGACAGCGACGTGACCCAGACCCTCAACGCAGCAGCTTACCACGCCCTGCCCGGCTCCGACCAGGCCCTCTGCACTCAGTACATCCTCTACGAGCCTCTGGGTCCCTACAAGCCTGCGGTGGTGAGACGGGGTAAGGTGTGGTCCGCCCCCTCCACCTGGCTCATGGACTGCATCGCAGCCTTCAGCCTCCTCCCCGTGCCAGAACCTCAAAGAGCGCCCTGAATCCTTTTTCCCTTTGGACTCTTGCTCAGTCAGGATGTGTCTTTGGTTTTTAACCCGTTGTAATCACGTTGAACACAAACACAAATTCTTGTACCGTCATGAACATTAAAACAATAATGTAATCCTCTTCAATTTTAGTCTCCTCTGATTTTAAAGGCAAAATAAAGTTATTAAAGTAGTACATACAAAACGTCTATCTGGGAGGTCTGGAAGAAATGAATACATTGATTTAAGAGTTCCCCAGTTTAAAAGACTGAAAAGCCACAACTTTAATGTACACAAATATATATACTGACTCAATGTAAATGTTGAATAAAGATTTTTTTTTATTTTGTGACGTTTTTGTGGGTAAAATGCCTCAAATCTGGTGTGAAAGACTCAGTGTTTGATTTTGAGATTGTCCTAAATTATTCCGATTGGATTCAACCATTTGTAATCACATGGATAATCAATGCAACGGAGTGCACTCGCCAAGTGATTTGTATTCAGCAACTGTCCACTTTTCTGAGTAATGTGCTTGAAACTTCGTCCTAGTCAGTGAGTTTCTGTTTTATCACTGCAGGTCCTAGAACTCCATCCTTTCTCGGCCAATTTTCCAGGCAAGGGTCGATGAGGTTGTTCAGGTGCCTCCCGCATCATTAATGCCTCGGCTGTTACTGGCTAATGTCAGACATGTATATATTATATAATTACTCTGATATTGTCTTCTTCTACATTTTGTTGTTTCATCTCAACGACACAAAGTATCAGTATCACTGTCTACACAACAGCTTCCAATTTGTCGATATTCAGCTCATTTTAGGCACCTTCTGCCAAAGTTTCCAGTTTATCAGCTTTTTTCTGTTTTTGTCATGCAATCAATTTATTGCAAGTATCTATCTAATGAGTGGTTTTTAGAGTGGAATTGCTTTACATAATATGCATGTGCTTAACCAGGAAGAGATAATCATCTAATTGAAAATGTCCCTCTGATACAAAAGCCAACCGTGGGTTCTGGTAAAAGATTGATGCAAAGTCAATATTAAGTGTAGAACAGGAAAACAAAGCAATTAATGTTCCATCACAGCCTTGGCACCTGCTATGGGAAAAAAGCTGAACTTTTTCAGGTACTTTAAGAGGTCCTACACTGGCCTTCTCCCGAGATGCCATTTTCAGAGGGATTAGTTGGGGATGCAGCTAATTGCTATTGATTGCTATGTGCTGCATAAAATTGCTTCCTTTTTCTTGTCCGTGGTGGGAGGTTGGAGAAGGCAATTAGCAGCATGGACGAGATAGGAGCCCGGACTGCTTTGTAATGAAATGGAATGGAGGAATGAACCTGTGAGTAATGCCCTTGAACTCGGTAAGCATTACAAACCTCACTGTTCTGCTATCTTCTTCCTCTTCTTCACACAACCGTGTGGTAAGAAAATGATGTTTTTATTAATTCTGAAGCAGTGTTTAGTCACACAGTACCTAAGCTTTTCTTGTACCCCTTTCCACAGTTTTATTTATTATTAATTAAAGCATTCTCCAGCTTTCTTCCCCATCTCCATATCTCCCATTGCTATTAGTCAGCATCAAAAAGTAACCTGAAAAACTCTGTCTGACTGTTTTAAAAAGTTAATGGGTGCTGGGACTTGTCTGTGTTCTCCGGCAAACTGGTGTATAGAAAAGGCAAAGTTCTCCTGAGTGAAAGACGAGGACACACACAAATAATAAAGAAGCAACACTCACTTTTGCCGAATAACACGTCTTTTCAAGTCTATTTAACAAAATATTTTGTCTCAGTGAATAATACACATTTTGTATTTTCTTATGTTTTTTTTTTTCTTGACTCCAGCTCAGATTTCAGAATACACATTTTACGTTTGAAGACATATTTACATATGAACAACACGTGGAGCACCAAGGGTTGTCTTTTTGGAATTTGGACCCTTTATTTAAACAGTTTAGGTTGAACTTCTGTGAGCAGGAATTCATATACAATCAGAGATGCTCTTGATTTTAAGCATGAATAAAATGTTGCCTCATATTTGAGTCCCGCATAAATGAACCCATGGTGCTCCCACAGAGTAATACAATTGATTGTATAATAACAGTGTTTCTCTCTTCCCACATCTGTGTTGGTTTTCAGGCACACTTTATGTAACAGTTTTGTTGCTGAAAACGAATAACATAAGGGCAACTAAAAAAACAAAAACAACCAAACAAACACAATCTTTCATAGTTTCCAGCTACAGTTAGTTGGTGTCTCATGGAAAAAGCAAATGGTGTATCTGTACAAAATGCCCATGTACAAGCCTGTGGTTTTCATGATGGCTACGAGGGAAAGATGGGTTCATTTGAGTAGACATTCAGAGACAGACGTAAAGACTCTAACTTCTTTGCAGAAAATGTAGCAAAAAAATAGATGGCACATCTCATTTGTTCTTTCACATCTTGGCATTGTTAAACGAAATTCCCTCTGCTCTGAATGCACACGGTGCATTCTGGCAGCCACTTTGACACCTTTTGTGGTTTTAAAAGGCATCCTCTTCTTCTCTCAAATGACTCTCAGCCATTAACCGTAACAAAAACATGTGGTGTCCAACCCATTCCACTTCTCTCTCAGTAACAGCCTGTTAGGCTAACTTTGTGAGCCACATGTGCACTTGTGCAGTCCTGCTGCATGTTTGCAACCTGCGTGCTACGACAAAATCCTCTCTCGTCCCTCCATGGAATGTCCTTTTGATCCCTTTGTTGGCTGTTTCGCTTTATGTTGGAAAGTACTTCGCCCTCTGCCATCCTATTTTCACTCTCAGCCAATGAGAGCAGTTCACGAAATCGAGAAAATGAGCGGCCGTTGCTCACCGACTTCAGTTTGCTAAGTGCAGTGAATATCAGAGGCATTTTAGGACCGACCAGTACCGTGAGCCAAAAATGTCATGCTGCCATAAGGCTAAAGTTGCTCTAGCTTGAAAATTATATCTGCCACTTTTGTTGCTTCTCTTTTTTACCTCTTGCAAATGCCACAGAGTATTTTTAGACCAGGCCCTCTGCAGATTCAGCTGCAAATGAACTGCACTTGTCCTCGTCGCTCTGTCGAACCCGTTGGCCGTTTCTGGAATGTCGTGGGAAAAAAACGATGAGCGGTACGGGGTAATACATAACAGTAAACTCTTGCACAGTGTAGTGAAACAAACTAGCTCTTAAAGTGGTCTGGGCTGTTCATTCTGTGCGAAGCCAAAGGCCATGCATTGTGAATCTTGTCTGAAACAGTAGCAGTAAGGCATCTGTGGTGGCAGCAATGCCTTTGAGCCCTGTCAACTGACACTTGCACCTCCATCTGTCTCTGTTGCAACTTACTGAAACATTTTCCTCCTCTTCTTTTTTTTTTTCTGGATACATGTATAAACTGAATGATTATGTGGCATTTAAATGAATTAAGATGAATGAATCTCTTAATAATTCTAAAACGTCTGGAGCGCCGAGGCTGTGACTGATAAAACATTCATATCAGGTTTGTTTTATGGGCCTGCTGACATCACACTAGATAGATGAGGTCTGTCTTCGCACAATGAGAGATCCTAAATCACTGCCGCTAAACGATGAAAATGAGGCAAACTGTATTGTTGCCTCCACAATTAAACTTTGCCCAAATTATTTCAGATTTATTGCACAGGAGATGCAGCTGCGCAGCAGGCGGGGATTTTTCCAAACTTAGTTTTATTGCCTTTTAAGGTAACACACCTCTTTAGTCATTGGTCTTTATCCTATGTTCATTCCTGTCTCATTACAGAGTGCTGGGAGCTGCTATTAAGCAGCCCATCCATCACGGCACAGGAATAGGGTCTGAAAGGTTAACAGGGACTGATTTTCTTGAAATGGAAAAAATTCGGTTGACGAATGGCATGAGCTTACAGAAATTCACCTTTGAATTAATGACTGGTATTTATCATCTCTAAAATCTGTCTTGGAGTCCGGTTGGGCGCTTTTGCTTTCAGACCGGACCACTCGACAACCACACTGATCTGAAAATTTGTCAAAAGCAATAAATTAGCTAGTCTGGCTGCTATTACACTGGCAAAAGCTACACAATATTGACTGAAACATTCTGACATCTTCAGAAGGGGAGGGACAAAAAGCTAATCGTAATATATGCAACAACCTTGTATCCTAGCAAGCCTTGTTTGTTGGTTTTAGTGCATCTGTGGATGCAGAGTAATATAGTGTGCCTCAGACTGTGTATGAATGGTGTGTTTACTTTCACATGGACATGATGTTTTTGAATGCGGCTTCAAAGTATTTTTCCATTTGCAGATTCCGTCCTTTTGTCTGCTGAATGTGCCCAGCATGCAGGCCGAAGTAGAGCCAAGCATCCAGCTGGATGATTTATCACAAAATACTCCTGATTAAGGAAATTTAAAGGGGGCTGCTCTTGGCTCACTAACTGATCAAGCAGTTGGGTTGGGATTTTTTTTTTTGTGGAGGATTTGGACTCCATAGAGAAAACAATTGATCAAACTAGTTTGGAAAAAGTTGGACATTCCCCTGATGTAGTCCCTGCTTCTCCAAGGTTTCTTAGCTTGTTTTTTTAGCCACACTTAATACAACTAACTTATTTTCTTCGTGCTGTGACTAAACAGACAGGACCCAGAACAATGGTATGTTTATAAAATAAGTGTTGGGGAGGGTTCATTGCATTTTGAGGGAATCTGACAGTAGCTTCTTGTAAGTGGTAGAGGTGAGCAACAGCCACAGTGATTTAATAAGTCTTATGAAGACGAGTACTTATGTCATGTGCATTTTGTAAACAAGCTCTTCGAGTGAAGCTTTGAAACTCAAGCACATTTGCGGGGTCACGCCTACTCTGGCCAGAGAACAAAAGCGCCGTGTGCTTTTTCCTGCTGTTGGAAATTTACAACATTTATGTGGTTGTGACAGACTTATATAACAAGCTGATGGCATACATACAGAATATGACATGAGCAATAAGACATTACCAGTTTTTAGGAAAGAGTTCAAGGAGCTTAGAAACTTTGAGTGAGATCAGCAAGTCAACTTTTCAAACTATATAGGAGGAGAAAAGTGGAGGGTGGAAACAGCCTGGACAAGTTCCGTCATCCTCTCCCTGGCTAAATTTGTAATTGATGTGAAGCTTGTAGGATCATCTCTTCGATTCTATGCTGGCTCCATTTTTTTTTTCTTTCTTTTTGTTGTAGGAATTGTGCTCCTGCCCTGTCAATCATACAAAATGGCGCAGTAGGCAGAGCCTTGCCTGAGCTTATCTCCCGTCCACTGTGAGGTCTCCCCTATGACAGCGACTGGCCGTTGAGGCACTCCCGCCGCAAACACTGAGCCGGCTTCCACCAGTCCCCATTGTGGCAACGGCAGATGGTGCAGTCGTCCACCTTGACTTCAATCCCGGCTGGGATGATCGTTGTTCCGGCGAAGCAATTTGGACCGGCCGCAGGGGAAGGGAGGAAGGGGGGGGGGGAGCAGAGAGACAAGGAAAGGAGGAATTAGAACGACAAGAAATGGATGTGTTTCTCCTGAGAGCTTCTCTTTGCAGAGGGGGTGGTGGAGTGATGCGCAGAGCTGGAGGGAGTTGGGGGGGGGGAGTCAGAGCAGACGTACAGATCTTTTCACAGGCATGCACCGATGGGCTTGTTTTTGCAACACTAAAGCGCTTTTGTTAGTCTCCCCTTCTCCCTCGACATGGAGCGCTTTGCATCCTAATGCGTCGCGAGCAGAGAAGCCTGCCAGGCGCTGGCTTGGCAGTTCAGAGAGGCTGGAGAGCAGAGAGAGGCAGAGGGAGAGAAAGAAAGCTGCTCTGAGAGGGCACGGGGAGGATGATGTTAATCACTTCGCTTGTGTATCGGAGAAAAAAAAAAGGCCACAGAACTCCTCAGCAGCGCCTTATAGTTTATTTCCAAATGTACACACAAAGACTCCCAAACCAATAAAATACTAAGATTAGTTGTGACATCTGATTTATCCTCAGAGCTCTGCGGGATTTACCTCTGTGGTTGCCTTTTTGTTGATAAGAATAAGATGTGTTCATGTACCAGCGAAGTACATGCCGTACCCCTGTATTTGATAATCTCACCAGACACAGGAGCAGATCAGCCTGAGTAATCTGTTTTCAGGGAACTCAAAATTGCCACCGCCTTTGTTCGAGCACAGTGCATTTAATATTAAATACCCCTTTAAATTATTGCATCCCATTTGTCTTTGTCTTTTTCAGTGAGATTTGTGAGACTTATAACCAGCTTCTAATAATCCAATGGTGACTGGGATGGGCTCCACCTACCCTGGGACCCTGAATCCAATAAAGCAGGTAAAGGAAAAGAGTTCATGTAAATAGAAGTATTGCAATTGTCCCTGTCCTTTTTTGTGCCTAAGAAGCTCAATATCATAAGGAATTCACCCTAGTTGTAATAATTCAAACAAAGCAGTGAACATCTCTATTGGTGTAAATGTGGCTTGGTTTGCTCGGCATTCAGCTCTGTAAAATCTGCCGGATTCAAGGGGCTGCAACGACTCGTCGTAAAAACCTGTATGTCCCATAACCCTTACAGACACAGCAGCCAGTAGTCACAGACGTTTAGGTGGTATTGTGAAGCTGATTTAGTGCGAGATGAATTAATACTGGGATTCTAAATGGCAGTCAGCTGGAAAAGGCCAGCCAAGTGTAAATCCAGCCAAATGACCAGCCAAGTGCAAATCCAAACAAAAGTCACGACTCATTTTCGCGTGTTGCGGGGGGGGGGAGTGCAGGTATGCGGGGCTAGATACTGACTGAGACGTCTTTCATGCTCATTCAGTTTCTAATGTGTGTTCACTAGCTGTCTCACAGCCGTGCCTTTTAGTGACACTTGGATACCAGAGACATAATTAAAGCTAATTGTACCACCTGTGCCCTCAGTGGAAAAGCTTTTAAAAGTATTAATGATCATTTCAGGCAATTTACAGAACTTGATCAAAGTTGGATCGACATCATAATCCGGGATGCTGAATTCAAAGGACAAAAGAGGTCAGGCTGTCTTTTTCAGTGTTCACTATTACATGGCAACAACTAGGTTTTTATCTACAGACGTCTAGCAACCCACCCCTGATAAGAAATTTGAGCTGCAGAGCGTATAAATGAAAATGAGGTGCAAGAGAGCGCAAATAATCACGGGATGGAGACAAAAGGAGCAGTTAGCTGCCAAGTAATCCCAGCCTTTGCCTGAGCATAGATGAGTCCCATCCTCTATTTGGACCTGATAAAAAAGCCCTTTGATCTGAGCTTAGAAGATACATGGAAAGCGCTTGCCAAGTCTTAACTCGCATTGATCTACCCCTAGACACCTGGCACAGGTTACAGGACAAACTCAGTAAAGGTTGATGTGGAACCAGTGTGACCAGAACTGCTGCCAGCTATTACTCTTTAAAGCCAGATAGGTATGGAGACACAAGGACAATTTTAGATGTCCTTTAGCTGTGCACAGGACTGTACTCTTTTCATTCAAATAGAAAATGTTACCCAAACTTTGTTTCTCTGCCATTCCATAATACACATTTCATCTAAAGAAAAAAAAAACAGAAGAAAGGAAAAAACACTTATACATGCTTCTATTTCTATACGGTGTAATCCTATAATTCTTTGAAAATAGCAACCATTCTCAGAGTAAAACACATTGTCATATGAATTATATGATTATTTAGCCTAATTCCTGATAAAGATTAAAGCAGAATCAGTTGGACTCAAAGATTGCGGAGCTTAGCGATTAGTACTCCCACAGGCTAATTCATTTATAGAGCTGTCTTCTACTGTTGGTGTTTTCAGAATGAAATTCCAAGAACTATCTAAAAAGCTTCATCTTAATAAGGGGAAGCCATGGAACTTTGGCAGTAACAAGCAGGGGTTGGTTGAAGAGTGAAGGTAAGACATCAGTATATCAAACTGGATATAAGTTTAATGTAAGGTACTTCAGAGGTTGAAAAATCTCAAACGCCTTTACAAAAGGTTGACTATTCATCCACATAAAGACCTGTTTGAATAAAAATGATTGATTGTGTCAATTCTCGTGCTGCAGCAGAGCAAACACAGTGTGGAAAAGTAGCTGAACCTTCCATTAAGTCGTTTTTTGGCGGATTCAACAGCTTATTTTACCATAAAACTGTGTCTGATGTGAACAGCCCAGAAGGGATAAAATAACCCATGTAAGGAGAGCTGCTGCTTCATCTCCAGACCAATAAAACTGCATGAAATTTTGATACGACAAGCATCATCTCACACGTTTTTCAGGTATATTCCTCTATGATGAGAGAGAGTTATGAAGACTTCATTTTTAATATTACCTTTTGACTTTTGTTTTGGGTGAGCACAGGAAAGAAAAGAATTCAAGGTTATGAACATGCTGCATCATTTTAGAAGGTGGCAGAGCATTGTTTCACGATGGTGAAAATGAATGTGATCCAATTCAACCTTCTTTTTATGATAGGATTCTTTGTTTGTTCATTTCTGCAGCACATGATTACAGCTGGACTAAAATTAAGGTACAGTTGAATTCATTCTTAATCTGTAGGAGCATTAATAATCTTTATTTAATTGATTAATTAAATTAATTAAATCATTTAATGAATTAATGCGTTAATCACAAATTCTGATATTCTGAAGCATGCATATGTATATATTATACGTTTATATTATACGTTTTCATCACTAAGAAACAGTACTGTAACTGAACTGACAATCATGGGGTAATATTAAATGCATTTTTTTTGTAGTCAAAGAATTATACTGTAGTTTGAACAAAGATTAAAAGACTAAAAGACAAATCATTTTTTTGTCTAGAACACATTTATCTTTAGCTGATCTAGCCTTCTTTTTTTTGTCATGTGAGGTCATGTTTTTATTTTTTAAGTAAAGAAAATGTGCACTGCATGTACTTATATTATATGTACCTTTACATTTTCTTTTTACTAATTTTCCCTGAATTAAGTAAGCAACACCTCTACTGAAAAGAAAAAAGATCAAGACCAGCTTTTAAGCTTTGGTCTCAAATACTGCATGAATGACTGAAGCACATTTTGATGTCTCCATTCTTTACTGTCTTGTCTCCCGGTAAAAAAGCTGAGAGCTAAAGAGAGTCCCCTCACTGTGCTCCCCACAGCCCTCAGCCACCCACTTATATACAGATTTATCTTGATGCCAGAGTCTGACCATGCACCCTCGGAGCATCTAGAAACAGCAGGCCCACCTGAAAATGCCAAAGGGAGTTACTGTGTTCTGTCACCATGGATTAGTTCTCGTCCTGCAGCTTCTTTCGTCCTTTATTGTTTGTGCTTTTGTGTGAAAGCAGACACATTTGACTAAAGTAGGTATCCAAGTGTAAGAAAAAACACCATTAGAAATATATTTTTATCTTATTTTATTTACTTACCCTTTCTCAAAATAGATTTTTTCTACTATATTGACCTAACTGCTAAAAATGCATCATAAAGTTACACTTATATATACATATACTTATACTTAGACTCATATGGCTTCTATTCTGCACAGCGAAATTTACAAAAGGAAAAGAAAACTTAAAAAATGCAACACCCTTTCTAGATTCTGAATTGGATATTATCAAAAGTGCTCCTTGTTATGGATCACTCCACTTGGGTTCAAACTGCAAACTGCTGTTACGGTACTTTATTCATAAAGCTCAATCCATCCCTGAGGATTGGCTCTGGCAAAGGGAAGCCACCCACCTCGCCTTGTAAATAGTCAATGAACCATTGGAATCCTATAATTCTAATTTGAGGATTGGCTCTGTGTGACAAGGGCACCGGGGCCCTGGGAGATAAAAGGCCCTCCAAGGATCTATTAGTCCCTCCTACCATGTCTTTAATCAATGGGCTAATGTTTACTCTGCTTAGTCTGTCATTTATAATTAAACCTGGTACTGCTCATTAGTGTATAACGGGCCCAAGGTAATAAGTTTAATTCATAACACATCAATTATATCCTCATCTTCTACAGGTGCAACCATCAGATGGTGATGCCACAGATAAACTTGCTGTTTAATGAACATTTAATGACTTTTTTAAGAAATCTACATTGCATTCCGGTGGAGTTGAGTGTATACCGTTTTTACAGATGGGACAGCACTGCTCCGGCTCATACACAGGGTTGACACACTCTGGGACGGCGCAGTCAGACACCACACAGTGCACCTCATTATTTGGTTCGCAGCGGCACCATTCACAGGGCGACGGCTGTGGGCAAAGGGGGAAAAGAGACAGGGAATCTGGGTCAGATGAGGTAGTTCCACCTAAGGGTTCCCATATCACCCATACTTTGTGTTTCTGGAAAATTCACTTTTCTATGCATATCACACAAATCACAAATTCAGTTTACTACCTATATTTGTAAATGCCCTTGTATCTAAATTCACACTGAAGTCCTTTTGAATAAAAACAAACATACAAATTAATTAAGGATATTTCATATCTGCTGAATTTATAAGAAAACAGGCTTATTTTACCACCTCTTCCTCATATAAGTCAAAGCGGTGCTCTATATGCTGCTGCTGCCTCTTACTTGACTCCATCTTTACAGAGTTTTTTGACCGGGAAATGAACTTTAACTTGATTACATTGGGTGCAAAAATACTAAATGTTTATAAAGCATAAACCGTTCACCATATTAGAAATGCTTTCTTCTTATGGAGGTGAAAACCCTTCTTCGGACCTCTCCCCACCGGGTCTCTATTAAGAGCTCAGAGCTTTGAATTAAATTAAGGGTTACAAGAGCTACATATTTCAAAATCCCTTTCTCAGTTGTTTTAATGTAGGCTAGCGTGCAGAGAACGGCCCAAATGAGACGATTCAGATTCACAATAAACGACGCCATAAACTGCAATCACCAACATTTTATTCCATAACGGTTCATTGACAGAACCAACCACTTAACAACCCAGTGGATGATAATATGCATTTCTTTGGGATTAATAAAACTGTTTATCTTGAGGGGAAGCTTGCCCGGATCGGTTGAGGCCTTTCACTGTCTGGGTTGCTAACAAATTAACAAATCACATCGTGCTTGATTAGTTGCCAGGTAACCAATGGAGTTTCCAGGGAAGCGTAAGACACATACAGTGATGCATGACATATTGGGGGCCCTTTACAGTTCTATAGACTATAAGTATAAAAAGATTACATGCAAGTCCTAAAACCAGGCACAGAGACAGCAACAAATGAGCTAAACTATCATACTTAATTACTTATTTATATACTATAAAAAAATATTGTCACTGCAGGATATGTGTGAACCTCAAGGATTCGGAGGTGAAACAAGAGTTTTTTTCAGTCAACAGGAAGACTAATGGGTGTAACAGAAGATTCTCTGGGCTCTCAGCTTTGTGTGTATCATGTCATGTGCACAGGACACTTTTGAAGATCTCAGAAGAATCGTCAATGCTCATCAGCCTGGAAATCCTTGCAAAACCTTCTCTTTGGACAGCATTGTCAGATTGTTTAGAAAAAAAGGAAAATTGTTATCCCTGGAGGGTTGAAAAAACAAAGTTCACTCGCAGTGCAGCGTTTGTGCACATCACAAAAGAACCCAACACAAATTCTAAGCACCTCTAGGCCTGTTAAGATGTCTGTGTAACATAGTGGAAGTTCCTTACATTTTTATTATATTCTTGCATTGTTTTTGTGAACTTTAATGTGCTGATCACTACCAGTCGAGACGTTATTGGCAGCTGAAGTGGAACTTGTCTCTTGTACCTGGCTTGGGTGTGATACGTCTCTGAGGATTAAAAAACAACAGGTGGAGGGATTTTGTGGCCCAAACAAAGTGGATGTCTTCTGGAATAATGGCTCCAGAATAATAAAAAAAACACAATTCTTTGTTAGGTGAAGGTGTCATTTTACCATGCACCACCATATTTCTAAAAAAGATTTAGTCTATTTGTATAACAAAGGTGAATAGTAAAAAAAAAAATGAATATCATAAAAAATACTGTTAAAGAAAACCTAACAAAAATAAAGACTTTAACCGTCAACACTGGCATATTTTACATGTAATGCAGACTAAATCTAAAGACTAATTATCTGTGCTGGAACAGATTTTGCTTTGATTAGTCACTACTGTACACCCGTGGCTATGATACTGGTTACAAATTGCTTAGACCGGCTAAACCAGAGGTGAGGTGTTCAGCAAGTATTACAACACACAAAAGCTTATCTTAGGTTCTGTACAATTTTTTCTTTGTCAACAGGCACCTCCTCATTCAGGTGCAAATGTGGAACAGATGACAAGCAGAGATATGCTAATTTAAGTGGTAAGTATGTTTTTACAGATTCACTGAATCCTTATTCTCATACTTTATAATGAATGACAAGATGGGGGAAAACAATTGCAGCTAAATTCTAGCTTATAAAAAGAAAATGCTCCCATTCCTAAATGCTGAAGGAGCTCAGTCAGTGCAGACGTTACCCAAACTAATACAGACTCAGGAACCCTTTATTTTCCCCCCAACTGTCCCAAAGTATTTATTAAGGCGATCTTTAGTTCCTTAATACACAATTTCCATACCAAAGTAAATTGTTGGTGTCTAGAGATACTGCTTCATGCGTGTTGTACTAAAAAACTGATTAAAGACACCTCAAATCAAAGACAGCTCACAGCTGGTCTTTGGAAATAAACCATTTCAAAGCGGCTATGGCATTTCTCTGTGGGTTCAGTTGCTTGACTGGTCAGTGAAGCAGCACAGGTAGAGGATACAGATGCAGATGTTTTATAAGAAGCGACACATAGGAGACATCATTCGAGGGGAAAACTCCTCCCTTTTCCTACAACAGAGGATCTCTCAGTACAGTCTGCAGCTCTTAATGCTCTTAGTGTATCCTTTTGTATGAGTTCCACCGTGAAGAGGATCAGTCATGCCTTCGCTCAGACTCACAAAAGAAAATGGAGCATGAGCACCGAATTTAGACGTGTTGCCAGATGTTTTGGTGATGAAAAGACTCCTGTTGTCCCCATTTTAATAGCTGGGTATTATCGCGAATTGGCTGTCACGTTTTCTCATTTCCTCATTGCGATAAATGGAGACAGAGCGGGTAGATAATGAAGAGTCAAATAACCTTTAGAGGGGAAAATGTTAATGTGAAATACTTTAAGGCTGGACAACAGGGTCACAAGAATATAACCCATGCACATAAAAAGAAACAACATGCTGTCATTTTGGAGCTAGAAACACTGCAAAGAAAGGAGATAGGAAACCTAGAGGATGAGGACAGATGTTGCTTAAAAACACTCAACACTAACTACAAATGCAATTCATAAACAAAACCTTCTTTGTGACCGAATTGTTTTTCACTTATTGGCATCATTCTTGCCTCTGGCAAAATGGATAAGAAAATCAATTTCAGCAGTCATTTTTACAGCTTTTATGGCTGCTCCTTCATTTGCAGAAAACAAGTTCATAAAGTACTGTGATGTGTGGGCAGCCCAGTATGGGCGTGTGTGCATGCTGTTTTGAATCCATTCTTATAATTGTGAGAGTATGAGTAGTACATTGCAGTACATTGCCCATATCTCCTGTGCATATATGTCTGAAAGGACCTTTCCTGTGATGATACTGCAGCACGGTTCAATTTTGGGGTAGAAAGAGTCAAATAAAAACAAAGTTTTGATTACCACTGAAAAAGCATAAAAACCAACGTATTCGTTAATTTTGTTACGCTCCTGAAGAGGGGCAGGCTCTCTTGGTTTGGCCCATCTTTGGGGATGTTTATGGAATCTGAAACTGATTTTCTTCCAAATTATGACTGATTTTGGATAGTCTAATGGCTGAGTGCCTCTCTGGCTAGGAGGGATCTCAGTCAGGACCGGGAGCATTGCTCACATATTGGATCCCATTCCAGCTCTTTGATCTGAGAACGCCTTTTATAATTTTGGTGCCTAATTATAATTGTGCTGAACCCATACTCATACCCATAGCTTCAGGTATGAGGGGTGTACTCATGCCCTTTTAATCTTATTGTAAACATGTGAGGTCTGAATGCTTTACCAGTGCAATGAACCCAAAATAGTTGAAAATTGAGTCTTTTTTTCTTTTAAGACAACCTACATCAGTATTTGTTTAGAAAGTAAGTACATGTGAGTGAAGGAGTCACTACTGGAAAATGCAGTTTGGACATTGTGGACGGTATTAGATTCAGCAAAATGACAGGATGACATGCAGTCAGCAATTTTGTGTTGAATAAATGTCCAAAACAGCATGGGTGATAAGAGCTCCATACCCTATGGACATGACAATAGGCTAAACAGCTGCATGATGGGATTTTCAGTATATGGGGTGGGAAAGCCATCATAGATACACAGCTCTTCCAGAAACTTATTTTTCTTATTATTTGACTTGATATAAATGCACATGTCTGCACAAAGCAACACAATCACTATGAAGAAAATGCCAATGGGGCAAACACCAAAGGTTAATCTGTCGGCATCCCTGAACAGGGTACTGCATGGCACATACTGATGGCCTTTTATTTCCTTCAACACTGCAGGGTTCCAAGGCTTTCATGTCTTCAATGAAGAGACCCACCCTTCTCAAAAGAATATCGGTTAGCTGTGTGATTAAGGGCGGTGTTATCATCTCTCTGAATGCCAGATTTCTTCTCTTCTTATTTTCATCAATTGAATTGCCATAATCAAAGCAAAAAAAACAAAACAAAAAACTAACATTTAATCCTTAATATCCTTACTTTACTTCTATCTTGGGATTCTTTTTCAAAGCTAGCATAGCAGAGAGCTTCATCATTGATAGACCTGGTCTCACATCAAAATGTGGGGCTTATGCACATACAGAATCTTAGGCCGCGCATCTCAATGCAGGCTGAGCTTGATTAAATCTGATGTGCAAACACATCATTCAGTAAAGATTAAGCAGATTGGTTTAAATGGTCTGATGTTACACAACCCTTATTAAAGGCAACACCATTTCACTTCATGTGGACGCACCGGTGCAAAAGATGTGGGGCCAATAATTTGTTTCATGATCTTTTTCCTGATACTCCCTTTCAGAGTAACTAAGGCTTAAATGAAAACTTTGTGAAAAGTAGGGCAATGCAAATTTCAGAGTTCTTCGATTTGAAGTTAGTAAAATAAAAACATAATAACTGGACCAGCTGGATGTAGTAAAATGTCAAAACTAATGACCATAATCATGCACTTCTCAACTTTTCTCTGTAAAATTAAAAAAATATGTAATTACGTACATTTTGGCACCTCATTTTATCTAAAAAAGAAAGATTTTTTAAAAGATAGTGAATAATGATACATGTCAACTGAATAAGGTAAGAGTGTGTTTAATAAGTTGATAGCACAGGTACACAGTGTTTTTTTTTAATTCTCCAACAATCTCTTTGTTTTATGCCTAGGTCAAAGTCTTACATGTACAAAAAATTGTTTAAGGAAGTGTATTATGGAACAGAGGAGATCTCAAATGAACTTATTCAACTTTGTGATGGCCATCATTTACATTTGAAAATGCTCTCTACATTGTTTGGACTCTGACAATCCACAGTTAGACAGATTCTTCATATTCATAAGTCTGAAGGGCAATGGTGTGCGTGGCAGGACTACAATGATTAAGCTGCTGCACTCTAAAAATAACTTTGCTTCACAGTTTGCTGAGGATCACATGAAAAAGCCAGAAGGGTACATAGACAAAAGTATTTTTTCTATTTATATTGTTACATTTACATTTTCAGTTACTTTGAATGAAAGAAAACCTGACACTGCAATCTGTGGTGTTGGTAAAAGTTTAAGCTATATTAGGACCTGCATGACTTGCTTTTATTTTATCTAATAATTTATTAATGTATTTTTCTGGAAAACGTCAGGGCATCCCAAAAGCCCAAATCTCTACAAAAAGTGTGTCATGCTTCAGACAACTCAAATTCTGATCTTTCATCTAGTAGACATGTTAAAGAGTGTCTGAGTGACTAGATCATGTGAGGTAGCCCAGTGCCATCTGACTGAGAAGAATTTACTGGAAAATGTATGTATGCATGGGGTTAATTTGTCTTTCTGGGTTTTCAACTTTGAGATCTTGTATGAAAGCCTGATACAGAAATTTTGGCAGGGTTTACAAATGATCAATTCAGAGCCTTTATATCAGTTATCAGTACTGAGGCACGCACTGCAAAAATCCCAATTAAGCTTTTGTTAATTAAGCTTTTGGAATGGAAGTTTTAAGTACTAATTTGGCTTCAGTGTTTGAATTTAAAGGACAAGCAACCATTTCTGCTCTTCTGCTATACATTTGTACACTGGACATACATTTGCATTGGACAGGTATTGTTTAAGCGAACTGTGTAGAAATTATGATTGAAAAGGATTATTTTTACTGACACATTAGCATAAATCCCAATACCTGCTTTGCGAAACGTTCTGCCTGCAGAGCCCTGATTGGGTTTTGTCTCTGGCTACCAACAGAATTAGCTCCTGCAAAGGATTTGTTTTGAAAATGTTGGCAGTGTAATTTCAGAGTGATACTTTGTTTTATTACTTACAGCTATGACATTGTGAAGCTATTTTTCACTGGTCTCACTAGATGTATGTAGGTATCTCTGAGCTTTTGTTGTAAGACATATACTGGGAATTCAGAACAAAAGAATATTGTGCTGTCTGAATAAGGCAAAATGACAAAGAATCATCATTCACTCACTTGAAACACTTAAAAAAAAATGTTTCCCATCACAAAAATTATTTGTAGAGTAAACTTTCTATCTTATGTCTGAAGCATCAAACTGTAATAGATGCAAATACCCTGTAACCCGTCACTGATTTACTCACAAAGACATGGATGAATTCCATGATTAACCACGGAGCTCCTCATTCAGGCCATGTTGTGTCACATTACATTTCAATCACTTCCAGCCTTAGTCCACTTGTGGGGAATTTGAATAAGGAGGTCCGCTCATGGGCAGCAGCAGTTTAAACACAGACTGTACTTGTCATGCTTCCAGTGTCATTTATAATCAAGTGGTGCTGTCATGCTCCATAATGCGAGTGAGACGCTGGTCTGATGGCTAGAGACCCTAAGCATGAGAAACTGGATCTGCCAACAATGACTCAGTATCCACAAATACAGTGTATTAAAATTACTGTTATAGCTTCTGCCACTTTAGTAAGGCTGGATGGATGTTCAGTTGGTGAGGTAGTAAGTAGGAATGACATCACCCTGGGAGGGAGCCATCTTGGTGCCCTTAGCCAATAAAGACTTTTTGATAACACTTTCACATCATGCCAAGAATGAGTGAAAACGCAAAACACTGCTTATTCAAACCATGACACCTCCTGCTAATACTGCTTCAGGGCTGCTTTTTAAATTAGAAACTAATCATGACTGCTGTCGGCAAGTTTTAAGACCAAAATAAAATGATTGAAAGCACTAAAAAGAGCAATATGTTACCTGCATTCCCTATAAATAGTGACATTTATGTTGAAAAGAGTCACAAATGGGTTCCACCATAAGACCACTGATACATCAGATTGTGTATCCTTATCAGCTCATTGTGAACATGCCAGTCAGGGGTGTGTGTGTGTATGTGATTGCTTATGAAACAGGCTAGATAACATCTAAATAGCCAATAATTCCATCTTATTGGCTTGGTTTGAAGTCCAAATGTGAACGCACCCATCTGGAAAAATCACATCATACATAAAGAGATAAACTCCAAAGGCTGTTTCTAAAAGGGAATGTGAGAAGAAGAAAAAAAAAAGTCTGAATCAGACTACCTTATCTGAATCTGGCGCCTTACCTTGAATTCCTCCAGTATTTTGTAGGTTTTCCCTCGGTACTCGCAAAAGTTTTTAACCTCTTTGCACTCCGGGCAGCACCCGTTGTGCTCCACTTTGGTGCACTTGGGGTGCAGTTTGGGGCACTCGGGCTGGTCGCACACGGGCCCGTCCTCCGTGCACACGCACGGACAGTTCGAGTGTCCCGGGTAGAAGCGCTCCCCGAGTTTGTAGACGAAGCCGCTGTCGTCCACGCAGCCTTTGCCCCGGTAGTCATCGAAAACCATGCTCTCGGCCGCGCTCCGCTCCGCCTCGTCCGCGGCGTAATCCTCGGGGTCGCTGACCGTGGCCGGACACACGGCGCTCAGGGCCAGCAGGAGGACCAGGGCGGCCGGGGGGAGAGGGCCCATCCTCCGCCGAGCCATCGACATCCACATTTCAGCACGACTACGTGGATGTCATGTTTTTCTAAGCTCCCGATATCCTATCCGGATCAGTCCAGAGCTTTATTATCACCATCATCATCACCATCATCATCATAATCATCACGTATACGAGATGGGCTGCGGTGGAGAGAAAAATCATAACAGTTGAGCTAATGGAGGTTCAAGGTTGCTGTCTGTTTGCACATTATTAGAAATCAGCATCAGCTCACTACGGGGTACTCTTTTATTTTTCTTTCCGCATGTTAATGTTTTTCTCCTTGCTGCGACCACTTCTAATAGGTGGGGTACACATAGACACAAAATGGATTCGTTATGGCAACTCAACAGGTTAATGCCTTTTTCTCATGAAAGCATATGTAACAAAAGAGAAAGCCTCTGTTCTACGGCATATGTTCCATGCAAATGATTCTTCCCGTGCAAAATCACAGCAGCAGCAACAACAAAGGCTCGATTTATTATCTGAAGATGGTGAAAGATATGATCATTTCCCCCTTCAAGAAAAGAAAAGACAATAGACTGCACAATATGAAACTTTATGACACGGATCAAAGACAACAGGTAGCTTTAGTCATTTTATAATTTGCTTTAATATCGTGATTATTCTGATCACTTGGATTGCATTTGACTTTTTATGGTGACCTATTAGTCCTAAATCAGCCTTTTAAATGCGCAAATAGCCCGAAACATTGTTAATGCGCAATCATTTAACTCACCCATTCAAGGAGGATACCCACGTAAAACATTCAGACAGTTTGAGGATCAAAGAGGTTTAGAATAATCTTTCTTTTAGAGGTTTGTATCACAGCTAGTCTAAATTTAAAGGGCAACAAATGATGTACATCAGGGGGAAAAAAGCAAACTCACCGCGGTTTAAATCGCTTGGTATCGTTCAAATGTGGAGCCAGGATAACCGACACATAGAGGGCTGGAGCAGATCACAGATAGTCGCTTTTACTATTGGAAACTTCTCTCGATGCACACGGTAAATTCGCCAGGTTCCACGAGTAACTGTAATCCCCCTGGCTTGTCGTAGTTTTTTTGGGCTCAAAAGCTATTAGAGAGCCACCTTTTGGAAATTCGCCTCCCTCTTTTCCAGCGCATAGAAAATGACATCCACGAAAAAGTAGGTCTTCTTCATAATTATCCCCATCCGACTCACCTCTTTGATTAAAAACATGCAGTTCACCTCCAACAGCATGCGGTACGCACAGGGGGATAAGAAATAGAAAATACTACCCCAAAAAAATCCTATGTCGCGTTCCCTGAGTATCCCAAGTCAATCAGTATTTCCAAAGGATGCAGGTGGATGCGAGAGAGCGGCAGTCGGTTTTGTTGCACATATGCGTGTGTACATCCAGCGGTTGCGTGACAAATAAGAATCCTCATGGGTCAGTTAAAGAGCCTTAAAAATGATAAAACCAAAGCGAGACTAAAGAGAGTTATTATTGGATTTTTGCCGTCGAGGTTGCATTCATCGTCAAAAGGCGAGGTTTTGAGGACTCCGACTTTCAGCACCTTGGAGAGCGACTGTCTCCTGCGTCCTGCACCAGCAGAGCAGAGCGCACCCCCCCCCACCCCCCAACCCCCAACCCCCCCACCCTCGTGACACCCACAGCCACAACAGCCCTCACAATCCGTGGACAAATACTCGATTACATATCTGGAAGTCGTCTCGCAAGAGAAAAAAAATAGCTGAACGTAAGTAACAGGGCGAAATGAGTGGTCAGTTTTCAGAAGCGTTCCAACAGCAACAGCTGGTAGATTGAGCAGGTATACGCTCTATGTGATGAGTGATGCCCATTTTTTGTGTTTAAACTAATGCGCCTCTTTGCATGTCCACCTCAAAAGGAGACTGTGGCTGTGTGTATCCATATGTGTGTGCATGTGTGTTTATGTTATCCCGTCTTTACACAAATGACCTGCAGCTTGTTTTTTTCTGAGTCACTCCTAATTTATTGCAAATTTTACATAGACCTTTGTATTTGTTTTCTGCTGTCGGGGGACTCTGGTCTCCCCCTACAGCAATAGAAGGAAAAAAAAATACATTATGGCTTGCAGCAACATCAGCTTTATTTCACAGATGGTAGCCTATAGGGGCCACTGCCTAACTACATTTACTCTGAGCACATGACTGAGTGAAATCAGAAGACCATCACTTAATTAGATATTCCCATGAGAAATCCTGAACATTTTAACAACTGCAGCATTATGGTCCAGAACCCACTGCCCATTTGGAAAGAATGCAGCAAAAAATACTGAGAGTAGAGCAACATACCATATAAATAAAAATAAATGGAACTTCTGTCTTTATTTCTTTCTATTCTTCAATATTTTGATTAAACATCCTTGCTTTACCTGCACATTTGATTAATCATTATACAGTATTTACAGGCTTTTTTAAATAATGCAGACTTTTTAGTGACTATAAGCTGTCCAGCCCCAGAGGCAGCAAAGCAAGTCCAAACCATGGTGTTTTCACCCCCATGCTGCAAGGATGGTTTGCTCCTTTAAGGGTATCTTTGCTAAGTGGTAAATGGACTGTTCAGACATGGATCACCATGGATGGTCATATCAGACACCTTTATAGATAGGTTTTATGCTAAAATGCCTTCTGCAAGTCAGATTTTCACCCAACGTGACATTAAAAGCTGGGATAGGATTCTGGGTTGCTGTGAGACTTATTTTCCCTATCAAGTGCCCAACTCTTTAGCCGCTTTAGTGGGGATGGCCACCTAAACGACTCTCAATATCCCTCATGGCCTAATTACTTACCTCAAATCATTTAGACTGCTTTTTAAAATCCTGGCTAGGTTCACAGTCCTTCACAATATTCTCTAAAGGCACTAAAGAGCTCCTTAGATCTTTGCTTGATAACACTACACACTCCAAATGTCGTACACCAGGAATCAGAAGTCAGGGGTTCAAATAAGGTAGGGCTCATATCATAATGAGGTTCGCACTGAGAGAAACTGTGGAACTCCTGATTCAGTGTCAAACACCATGACAGGGTACTTAATTTTTTCCATGGTGAACCTAGTTTAACCCATCTCTCATGGTGATTCCCTTTATTAAATATTTAGTGATAATGGTGCAGAGAATGAATAGAAAAATCTATTAAATAAAACAAAAGTTTGAAACTGTTTTTTGTGTGACTCAAATGCTAAATGCTAAAAGCTGCTGTTTATGTCCGGGGCCATGTCTCCTTTAAATATAGTTATTGACTGCAAACTGCAAGCCTGCATTCTTGAAACACTGTTTCAGTAAACACAGCATCAGTCTCACACTTGGCAATGCTCAGCCAACCCAACTAAAACTCTCAGAACAGTGTGATAGCCAGCTCCTGTTGACACAGTTTAAATAATTACTTTTAATTCTTTAGAGTCAAAGAACTCATTTGAGAGCTCATATATATATATATATATGTGTATATATATATCAGCTATGATTTGGCAAACTAACAGTGCATCTGAGTTGAGGAAGGAAGTTGCTTAGGCTGTGAGAAAGTGCAGGAAATGCCACTGAGAATGATCATGCAGTACTTGGTATCTTAAAAAGGTTAGCAAGTATTTGAAATGCAGATGGGGCGAAAGCTGTGATCATCAAAAAAAAGCAAACTTGGATTGTCAAACTCTAAATAACATGGGAAAAATAGATAACTGTGACATTATGCAAAAACAAAAGGGCACACTATTAAATGGGGAAGGCATATTTTGTTTTCGTATGGCGTTTGCATTCTTTCATTATGTCCCTTCACCAGTCAGCATTTAATCATGGTGAGTGTGATTGTGTTGGAGTGTGTGTAGTTCAGGTGTAAGGACTGTCATCTGCCCTACCTCACCAGGACCATATGAAAACGTGAATTCAGCAAGACACCGAAGCCCATGTTGCCTTTGATGGATCTGTCAGTGCACGATGGGCGAAAAACACTGAATAAACCAGGAAGTGCTGCATGAGTGTTTGTGTGAGTGGCTGAATGCAGTCTGTAGTGTTAAAGTGCTTTGAGTGCTCAACCCAACTCGAAAAGCTCTATTTAAGGACAGTCCATTTACCATTCCATTTAACACCCCAACCCCCAGCTGCCATACTCTATTCTTTTCTAATTCTGATTTTTCATCTCTATATCTGTCAGCACACGAGGCACGTGCTGACAGATGTGTTTCCTGCCAGATTACAAAACCCATAAGGAATCAAATGATCCTTTGTGGTCTCTAAATGCATGTCTCCCTTAGACATTCATCTTTCTTCAGGATAAAAAAAGAATTAATCATTTAGCATGCATTACAAAGTGTGCAGAACTATGCACAACAAATAGTTCCTCACCCCCCCCACTTCTCTGTAAAGAGACATCTTGGCTGTTGACCTGGTTCCAAAGAAAAAGAACACTTATGGTTTGTGAAGTCTATCGCGCTATATCATCCTCCAATTCTCACAGCATCTCTTGCAATAGAACCTGTACAAGTATATATATATATACATCATTTATTAAATCTGACATTGCACTCGGGTAAATGTTGGATCCTAATGTGTGATGTGTTGTCTGAAAAAGCCGGCCAGCCACTCCGGCATGCCATGGTCCATTAGGCCTTCACTAAGGCTCACACAGAACACGGGTTGGATGATACAAAACATCAGCAGTACCATGAAATGTTCCGGGGCAACCACTTTTACTGACACACTACCTGTGTCTTACAGCCGGGTTACGGGTTTTGTGCCGGAGTATCGCTGCTTTCTCATGACATTTTCCTGAGCCCCATAACAGATGTGTTTACATCTCAGTCTTAGTTAATGTGAGGCAAACAAGTGCCAGCCAACAAGTCTTGGTTCCAATTCAATCAACTAATGGAAAGCGAGCCCAGTGCCAACCCCTCCTTCTACCTCCTGCCTTCCACCTCCTCCATTTTCCCGCAGCAACACATTCACTGCTGCGTAGTCTGTACCAAATGTTATAATGGTTTTGCCATTAGGACTACATTTATAGCCTGCTGGCAGGT